TCCCAACACGGACGTGTCGCTGTGAGAAACGTTGGCTAACAGTACAATTTCTCATACAGCCTGTCGCTGATCCTGCCTTTAGAGATTGTGTGCTCGACTTCCACGAGAAGTATTCAGCGGCGCTCGGAAAGTATCCTGGATCTCGTGTAAGTCGGTCCTGTGATATCGCTGCTCTACCTGATCTTATGCTAACTTCATGTGAATTCATAGGAGCTACAAAAGATTTTGAAGCTGCAAAGGAGCACTTCCTTTTCAAGCTACCCAACAGCAAAATGAAGAGTTATATCCCAGAGATCATGGACCAGAAGGGACACTAGGGGAGGCGGGGTGCAGAGGGCCAGGCTTTGCATCATGAGAAAGACCAACAGTAGAACCAGGGCTAACCTACTGTGACGCCTTTCGACCCTCCTCTAGTTACTGCCTCGGCGTCTAGCCTTGGAATTGCTGCTAGCAGAACCGCCAATACCACTAGAGTAGAGAGCTATTAGTAGGCAACAGGGCCAAGGCCTACCCCACTCCCACTCCGACGACGACGACGGCGCGGCTGCAGTGTGCCAACCCGTGGCACGACATGGTGCACGAACGCATGATTGACGAAATCATGCGTGAAACTTGGGGTTACTATACCTCTGGCATGCCAAATCGTGCCGACTTGTGTACGAGGCAGTAGCTGGCGGACGGCGGTGACTTGGGGTAGATAGGTACGTAACTTGGGTAGTGTTGACATGGCACATTTTGTTTCGCTAAGGGGGACGATACCATCAGGTTTTCAGAAAGCCGATTGTCTGACTGGCAACATCTTCTCTGTGGGTATCGGCAGAGCTTGGTTGCTCGGCGAGAACAGCGAAAGGAATACATGGACACATTAGTTAATAATTACAGGTCCTTCGGGCGTTGAGGGAAAACAGGTCAGCTATCCCTCTTCCCATGCTCCGAGTCCCTCCCATAATCATTGGCTGAATCCGAGACGGTGAAGCCTTTGACGACCAAAATGCCGCCCTTCCTCTCGGCTAGCTCCATATCGTTGCTCGTGTCGTGGCTGCCATCCGTCGACACCTTCCCTGTGATCCGTTCCATGCTCCCACTTTCACTGCGCATGGACAGTGCCGTGTCAAAATGCAGATGGCCGCGCTTGCCCTGCCCGAACTTGTTGCTCAGCCGCCCACCCACCACGCTCGACGCAGTGCCCCCGATGGTGGGTGGGAGCCCGTGCGTGTTCAGGGGCACCATGCCCCTGTTCCTCTTGGACCCGGCCCCCGACGCCGATTCCGTACCCTTCCACGCCCCGAGGGAGAACATGCGCCGCAGCAGGGCCCAGCAGAAGGGGATGTTGGCTATGATGATGGCCGTGGCGCCCTCGCCATTGTACCACACCAGGAAGACGAGGTCGTACGGCATGGTGAAGTTGTAGTAGCGGTTGAGGATGGCCAGGAGCACCACGAGCACACCCAGGCCGAAGACGCCGCACAGCACGAGCTTGCGCTTGAGCGGCAGCCGCGTGCGCGCAATCATGGGGATGGGGATGCAGAGCATGATGAGATCGGACGAGACGTGGAAGACGGTGACGGTGATGAGGTGGTTGTGGTACGACATGCATTGTTCTGTTGGCGCCTGGTTAGTTGGGGGCGGTTAGGGGATAGAAGTGGCCCGGAGGACTGACCGTTGTCGGCCGGGATGGGAACGGCCCAGTAGTCGGTGACGGGCTGGCACCAGACACCCAGGTACAGGACTTGGGCGACGATGAAGCCAATGGCGCAGTACACGCCCGTGATCTTCACTGCGAGACTCTCCCTCAACCCCGACCTATAAGCCACGACATGTCAACAACTCTGTCTTCTACCAGCAGCGCACCGCGACAGCCGAACTTACGTCATCCTCGCATAGAGAAGCAACAGACAAGCCTTGACCAGCCAAAGCGTGCACAGCATGAACTCCTCGAGGGCGACCAGCATCTTGCTGCCCCATGCGGCCTCGGCGATCTGGTCGGGAGGCCAGTCTGCCGTCTCGCCCTCGGCCACCAAGTTGCTCCCGCTCTTCATGACCTCGTGCGTCGATACAACCACGCCGGTGAGGGAGGCCAGGGCCAACACCATGAGGTAGTCATCGACGTGCAGCTCCCGGAAGAAGGACGGGCCCGTGAGCAACCTGCGCGACACGAAGCGGAAGATGGTCGAGACGACAGCCAGGGCCCAGAGGGTCCATGAGCTGATGGCTACGCCGAGAGGATCGTCGCTCGAGATCATGTTGAGGTTCAGGTTCGGGTACGGGTACGGGCCGCGCTAGTCCAAGGTACGGGTACACAAGTACACTGGCTACACGTGGTGGATGCAGCTAGGCCGGAGCGAGGCTCGTACTTTTCTTGCACAATAAATGTCGAAGATGGTGTGTATCAAGTGATGGACGGCGGCATCTCTAGGAGCTTGTGGGCTTGCGCCTAGGAGCAGGAGCGATCCACGAGCACCGGGGATTTTTGGGATACAGAATTATGGGGTTGAGGTGGGAAACAGAAGGTAATATCATATATACCGCATGCCCGCTCACTTCGCGATGTGACCTCGCTCACTTTGGGGGTTGTAGCGAGATGGTATAGATAACAAAAAAAAAAAAAAAGGAGAGTCGAGCTAGGATGATGGCGAATGGGGGCACCGCCTGATACCATCCCAGCATATTGGTTTGAGGCGTTCAGTTTGATAGAAAAGAGGCGCTCCCCCATTTTTCGAGTCCATGTTGCTGTTGCGTACAAAAAGATGCAACGGGCTTTGGTGGCGGGAGACCAGAAAGGGAAATCCAATCCGGCCAGCGTCTTATCAGATCTTAGCTCACTCGAACGGCCAGAAGCACACACATGCACACAACAATAGTTTCAATACCCGAAACTGCAGAAATTAATCATGTACAGATAAGGCATAGATGTCTTCCTCGAACCAGATAAGACTTTCTTTCTATCTTGGTCCTAGGGAGGCGGACATCGACTACCTCCGCTGGAGGGGGGACGGGGGGAGCAGAGGGGAGAGGACTTTTAAAAGTGGTCGCGACCCAGGGATGGCCCGCCGTGCGGTTCGCGGCGGGCTCCGTATCCGAGCGTGACCGCCCATGGAATCCTTTGCGGAATCCTTCAGGAGCGCACGGGTGGTATTCAGGGGTAAAAACACATGGGGTGTTTCGCCCTAGTGGAATACTAGCGTGGGGGACCGCCTCGGCTTCCCAAGCCCCACGTGCCCCTGAAAGCCATCGACTCTCGATCACTACCAAGACATGGAAGCTGCGCTCGACACCTGCAGCTGCAGTTGACAATCGTGAAGCTTGGACCAGATGCGCAAATGCACCGAAGCGAACCTGCATACGCTGCCTGGTGAGGGCAATCCCATTCGCTGCTTCCAGCTTCACCCGACTTACTTGGACACCCATGAAAGCAATATTTCCTCATTTGCCACTACGAAAGGAACGTACGATAGAAATAGGAACTGCTTACGAAAATGAACATAGCACGTGACATAGCAAGTACCCCCAGGCCTGAGAAAACGAAACAGCTTGGTAACCCAGAAACGACATTCAATTTGCTCTCTTCCTCCTCTCGGCTGGCCCCAGACCATGCCGTCTAGAGCTGGACGATGACACACTGCAGAAGCTCGAGAACAGTCGGGCTCTATTTTCACGTCAGCAAGGTGTCTCGACCAAAACTCACACCTGGGTTTGCGAAGATGCAGCAGACGTTGTTTCCGTTGCAAGAACCGCCGAGGATGCTGATGCATGAGAGTGGGGCTGTGCAGCACACTGCCAGTTACCTTCAGCTCATATTCAATCAGGGTCAGGCACTTGAGGCCCACTCACTCGGGGTCTGGTTCTGGGAACCGCAGCCGGGGTGCGCGCCGCCAGTACGGGCCGTAATATCAGCCGGGGCCGCAAACGCCATCATAGCGATGGCGAGCACGGTGGAAACAGTGTTGAGTTGCGTTTTGTATTTTGTCTGTGGCGGAAGCCATTATGTCGCCACACGGGATGAATCGGGAACCCGTAACACCCACCAAGCAGCGGATCATATGGTTCAAGTTGTTGCAACTAAGAGGACCTGGGATAGCCCTGCCCCCTGCGCTTCATGTGTCTTTCTTGTTCCACTACCTTTCTTGACTTCAATGACGAAGATGGCTTTAGATCACGGATATATCAGCCCCTTTTTTGTCAGACCAAGAGGAAAGAGCAGGGTAAACAAAGCGAGTCCTCTGGATTATTTTCTATGAAGCCTCCCCGAGTTCGCTTAGTAACCCAAACAAGCGTTGAAGGGGGTTCCATGCCGGTCGTTCTCATTGTGGCGACCAATCGTTGGACAAGATTTCCCGCAGCCCTATCAATGATGGAAGCACAGCGTCAGAACTAATCTGCATTCGTGTGCAGCCGACACATCCAGACATGTTGTTTCACGGCATGGCAGCCGCTACGAACTCTGCTTTGCATCTGTACCTGTGAAATGTCTCAGAAGCACCGACTGCGGTAAATGTGCCAACGAAAGCCCTGTTGATGCAAATTGTCAGCTCGTGGGTTATTATTATTATTACTGAGGGCTGCCGCTGGGGGTAATTAGAACTTAAAGTCTGATACCACCTTATTGGTCTTACAGATATACGAAAACTTGGAACGCTTGTAACCAACCCCCACCCTCCTCAAGACTTTGACGAGGTTGGAACTTGGAAAATTATCGCAGCCATCAATAGCAGGCGCATGCAACCGGGATGTTATGCGGCACAGGTTGAAGTTCTCATAGCCGCGCTCACACTCTTGGCCCCAAGATCCTGCATGTAGATTGTAACGTCGGGAGAGAATATGTTGCCATGAGCTGTTAAGTGGGATTCCCAAGCCAGGCTGAAACTCATAATGCCTTGTCAGTTTTTGTTGAAGTTCGACAACAAAGTTCCATACCTGAGGAAAACTCTTTAGATTGCAGTGGAGTATACCTACCACTCTTTGCCTCTAGCATCCCAACAACAACTTGAATATGGAAACCAGCCCGGCTAGCTTAATCGGTAGAGCGTGAGACTCTTAACGCTTCCCTACAAGATTCTGTAGGCATCTCAAGGGGGTTCGACCCTCCCTGTCGGGCTCGATTCCCGGTGAACAACATGTTTCTCTTTTGCCTTGCTGAATATCCTGCTTTTTTTGCCCTTTGGCTGGCAGGACGCATGTCTAATACGACTCTGGAGCTGTACAGAGGTAGGAGTCAAGATCCGCACAACCCCTTTTCCCGAGGGGCAGCAACTCGGAAGCCTATGCGTCCAAAATATTGAAGGGCGGTGGTCCACCACAGCAATAGCACTCTCTTCAAGTTTCTAAGCAGCTTGGTATTGTTGTAGTTACCAGTCCCTGCTTTTTTTTTTTTTTTTTAAAAAAAAAAAAAAAAAAACTCTTGCAGAGTATCTTACCCGGGGAGAAAGGGGTCACAAAGACATATATCTCACTGTCATTTCCGATGCAGATATGACATGGCAACCGCTCAACCTACCCTTCCCAGATTCGACAATCTCCTCTCCCGGGTATATGGACACCATTTGCGCCTTCGGGCTACCCTCGGCGGTCTCTTGACCATTGTTGGGGACCTCCATCGCCTTTGTGCTGTCTAGCAGGGTCTGGGAAGCTTGATCAGGAATGGTGAACATCTCCTTGTATCCCGTTGGCGTGAACCCCATCCGCTCAAAACTCTTTCTTCCTGCGTCCGTAGCAGTGAGAGCTGTCAATAGCATAGACCTCAGATTAGCAAAGCAGACCGAAGACATGAACGAAACCAACTCACCAGACAACCCCACAACCCTCCACCCGCCCACCAGAGCCGCGCGAGTGACAATCTCGTCCACCCCCAACTCAGCAAAACGCGGTCTCTCAGCCCCCTCCCCCTGACCTCCCACCCTCTCAGGCAACCCCTCCCCCCGGAACCTCTCGACATGAAAAACATGCACACCCACCTCCTCCGCCCCCGGGCCTGGAAACATGGACGCCGCATCCACATCCATCTCCTTCAGCTCCCCGCTAAGCAGCCGCTCCCAGTGCGCGCGCGCAAGAGGCAGGGCGATGATGACGCCGACCACATCATCGCCGCCGCCGGCGGGCCTCTGGAAGGAGATGGACAGCTCCGGGCAGGCGGCGACCCAGCTGCGCAGGCGCGCGTATGGGAGTGGTGCGGGATACATGTCCTGATCGGAGGCGTAGACGGCCCTGAGGAGGGCGTCGGGGATAGGGCCCCGCTGGAGGGGTGTGGCCATTGTGAAGGGGTGGGTTGTTGTTGTGTTGTTATTGAGAGTTTGGAGCGGAGAATCAATTGCACCTTTGCAGGGATGGACGCCTGTGTGGAGCTGCCAATCTGACGGGCTTGGCGTGTAGAAGGTTTGGGGTTGGGGTTTAGGCAGTGGCAAAAAGGGGCAAGGGCCGCGGCTCGTCGTATCAATATCAACCGTGAAGAGTAACACTTGAAGCTCGGGCTTAAAGATTTCTTTGAATAATAGAAACACGACGAGACTTGGAGACTGCCCAAAGAGTGTAACAGGGCGCCATTGCGTACACCCTAGGTTAGGGTTACGAATGGATCCTCATCAACCATCCACCCCCCTTTCCACCATAGAATACAGAGATAATTGCAGATGACCGATTATCCCGTGGCAATCAAAGTCTCCTCCTATGCAGTCGCTGAACAAATCCAAGACAGTGGTTCAAAGAGTGCAAACATGAAGCCCGAGGAGCAGCAAAACCCAGTAGAATCCCTCCGAGTCCCCCACAACAAGCCCAATCAGCCAATGATTCAGAAGTCGTCGAATTTGTCGGTGGAAAATTCACGGCAGCAAGTCCAGCAATCCTGCTTTCTGCTGTCAGCAAGGTACAGTATATTTGATATCGACTTTGAGAGAGGGTACTTGCTCCCATTCGGATAGAGGACTAAGAATGTGCCACCGTATCAAGCTCATGTCAGTCTCCCAGCCCTAATTTCAATACAGACACGGGTCGACAGTATTTATTCTTACCCAGTCCTCCGGGCAACCCGGCTTTTCCCTGAAACAGGCCGCCCAGCAAAGCATATGGTTTTGAGGCTTCAGGTTGGTCGGCTGGCTCGGAGAGATGGCGATGCGGAAACTACCACGTGCCCCGGCAGTATTAGCAGAAGGACAGAGTGCCAACAACCACTAATTGCAAGACATAACGAGAGGAACCGACCTGACATCCTGGAATTGCTAGTGCTTCTTGGACGTGTGCGAGGACCACGGCATGGCCATGATTCCAGTGGTGAGAGCAAGGATGGTGGCAGCAGCGAGCAGCTTCATGTTGGCGAGGTGGAGTGTCGGGAGTGGGAAGTATTAACGGGTGATTCAATCTTGGAAAGTTGTGTGTGCTTAGAAGCCTGCCTTGTGGTGTAAAATGTCCCGACGGGCGATGGCTTCTTATAGACAGCGACCCGACCCACAGATCGAAAGAAGGAAGTTTTCAAGTTGACCTCACCCGATGGCAACATCTCGATCAAGGATGACAACATCACCGACCCGATATCTTGAGACAAACAAAGATACCTTACGTAGTCTGTGATTGGGCAGTGTTCTCAATGCAGCGCAACCACTCTGCGCGGCCGAAAGACCTGGCGCTTCCCCTTCCGAAACCGTATCACGCACGAGTTGGAAAGACGTTGCCTGGGGAAAGTGCGTGGCACTAGTGGTAAGGGGTTACATGAAGACCTACCTCGGCTCTTTATTTCTCACCCGACTGAGATCTCTCCGGTTGTTGGAGCGGTATCATGCTAATATTTGGCATTGAGTCATATTTGTTCAACTAACACAGCTACACTAGGGTCAACTCAGGCCTAACGGTGGGATAGCAAACTTACGAGCACCTCATCGGGAACTCATGTGCCACGAGGAGAGGTAAAAACCGATACTTGGATGCTCAGGGTTCGCTCTGGTGAGGTATAACTGTGCTACCGATGTTCCCCGAAGCCTGCATATATATACGCCTCAATGTTATACAATCAACGTAAATCCATGGCCTTGTCGCGTGTTGACCGAGCCGGAGTTGTTTCAAGTTACTACCTTACCTACTTCCTCAACACTTTTCGCGAAGCGCCGCTTGGCATACATATGTCCTGGCACAATCAGACACGCTATACGGAACACTAGAGTATCTGATTTCGTTGCCGCGGCTCCCCGCAGACTGTGTTACCTTGATCAAGAACTATTTATATTTATGCCTTGTTGATGAAGACCAAACCATCGCGAGCCGTGTACCTCCTGAGCAGGGTACCTCCTAATGTAGGCTGGGAGAGGGTCGGAAGTGATCTTCTTGGATCCGAAGGAATTGACTCCCTTGAGTTGTTGACGCGTGCGTTAAGTTGCACCAGAGACCAGGCCAGTACGTCATGACCATCGACGAAGCGCTAACAAGATCCTAGTCATGAGTACCACAGTTAAAGGAATGCGAATGCTCAATTGCTGGCTAATATCTTGCAGCGACTGCAACGCAATTTAAGATAGGTAATCATTGCGGATAACACAGGCTTGTCAAAACAGTCCATAGATCAACACATCTTCAAAGCTTCGGGGCTGAAGTCGCAGAGCCCTGGCCAGCATCATAGCGATCGAGATTTGATACTTTGACCCACGCTGCCACAAAGTCCTTTACCAACTTCTCCTGCCCATCGGCACTGCCGTAAACCTCGGCCAGCGCGCGCAGCTCCGAGTGGGAGCCAAAGATGAGGTCGGCGCGTGTGGCAGTCCACTTCTTCTGGCCTGTCTTGCGGTCCGTACCCTCAAATACCTCATCGCCCTCTACCACTTTCCAGGCAGTGCTGGGGTCCAGCAAGTTGACAAAGAAGTCGTTGGTGAGCTTGCCGGGCTGCGAGGTGAAGACACCGTGCGACGAGCCATCGTAGTTGGTACCGAGGACGCGGAGACCACCGACCAGGGCCGTCAGCTCTGGCGCAGTAAGAGTGAGAAGGTGCGCCCGGTCGACAAGGTATTGCTCAGTGCGCACACGGTCGGTGCCCTTGCCATAGTTGCGGAAGCCATCGGCATACGGCTCGAGGTAACCGAATGACTCAACATCCGTGTCCTCTTGCGAAGCATCGGTGCGGCCAGGGGTAAAGGGAACCGAGACGCCTGAGGCCTGCTCGAGGGTAGCAACACCACCGAGCACGATGAGATCGGCCAGGGACACCTTCTTGCCGCCGGATGCGGAGCTGTTGAACTGCTGCTGCACGCCCTCGAGGGCGCTGAGCACCTCGGCCAGCTGTGTGGGGTTGTTCACAGGCCAGTCCTTTTGGGGCGCAAGGCGGATGCGGGCACCGTTGGCACCACCACGCTTGTCACCACCGCGGAAGGTAGAGGCTGATGCCCAGGCGGTGGAGATCAGCTTGGAGGGCTCCACGCCAGTGGATAGGATAGCCTTCTTCAGGGAAGCAACATCGCTGTCGTCGACCAGGGGGTGGTTGACGGCCGGGAGGGGGTCCTCCCACAGAAGCTTCTCGGACGGGATCTCAGGGCCCAGCCAGCGGGATCGGGGACCCAAGTCACGGTGGAGTAGCTTGAACCAGGCGCGGCCGAAGGCATCAGCAAAGGCATCCGGGTTGTCCTTGAAGCGGCGAGAGATCTTCTCGTATTCCGGGTCGGACCGCAGGGCAAGATCGCTCGTCAACATGGTGGGCAGGTGCTTCTTGTTGGGGTCAAAGGCGTCGGGGATGAAGGGCTCGGCGTTCTTGGCCACCCACTGGTTAGCGCCAGCGGGGCTCTTGGTGAGCTCCCACTCATACTTGAACAGGTACTCGAAAAAGTCGTTGCTCCACTTGGTTGGGGTCTTGGTCCAGATGACCTCGAGGCCGCTGGTAATGGTGTCGGGGCCCTTGCCAGAGCCGTGCTTGTTGGACCAGCCGAAGCCTTGCAACTCGATGGGGGCAGCCTCGGGCTCCTTGTCCACGTTGTCGCCGGAGGCAGCACCGTGTGTCTTGCCGAAAGTGTGTCCGCCAGCAATCAAGGCAACGGTCTCCTCGTCGTTCATAGCCATGCGGCCAAAGGTGGTGCGGATGTCTTTGGCAGAGGCAACGGGGTCGGGAATGCCATCGGGACCCTCGGGGTTGACG